CCACCACCACCACCCCAACCACCCCTTCCGCCTCCTTCTTGTCTCTTTTGCCAAGGGGGCATCTCAGGGGGTGGTGGTTCAATTTCATTTGGCCGGCCTCCTCTGTCAGGGACTCTTCCCATCAGCACCTGTGTGAAGGAACGTCTTCTTTCAGTTTCTAATATTTTTAAAATTAAAATTTACATAAAGGCTTCAAATGATAATAAAATTACTGTTTACAAGAAACAGAAGCCACATATTTAACAACAAGGCTGTATGAATACTGAAAATATGAGTGTAAAATCTGTCAAATTTCTTAGAATGTGATATTATTTTAAAACAATCTGGGTATTTCTGAAACTTAAAGGCTTGTTAATTTTCTCTCACTTAAATTTAACAAATCTATAACAAATACAATACACATCACACTAAAATTTTTCAACAAAATATTTTCAATATATACAAACTACATACCCTACATTAATTAACTTCATATACTTTTATATAATAACTCTGGGCTCTCTATTCCTATTTAGTACAGAATATCCAATAAATGATTATATTCCTAAGCACATTTTATTTCAACAATGACAAATTACATGTGAAAAGGTGGAAGTAACAAGCACTGAAAATAACTATGATTCCAGGTATCACTGCAAAGGGATATGTAATAAGACTGTCAAAAAACTATTATTCCTTTTTTGGGGGAAATAAGCACACTTGCTTTTAATAATGGTAGTTATTATTACAGGTTGAGCATCCCTAATCCTGAAATCCAAGATGTGAAATGCCCCCAAATCTAAAACTCAAGTGTCAACGATGTCATAAGTGGGAAATTCCACAAATGATCCCATGTGATGGGTCAAAGCACAAATGCACTAAAAAAAAGCATAAAATTACCTCCACACTATATTATAAGGTATAGATGAAACATGAACAAATTTTGTGTTTAAGTTTGATTCTCATCCCCAAAATATCTCATTAATGTAAATACCCCAAAATTTGAAAAAAAATTCAAAAATTGAAACACCTCTGGTCCTAAGCATTTCTGTATGAGAATAACAAAGAGTTAATGTATTCCTTGAACTATGTTTTACAATACTTTGAAATATAAGTTAGGGAAGAGATTAATTTACATTACCAGCCTCCTCTAGAACAGAGCTACTTTATATCCCCGTGAGTGGAGTGAAAGAGGTAACTGTGAAGAAGGTGTCGATGGCCTGTCACAGCCAAGGCGAATACAATAGTATCTTGCTAGTACTTTTCAGGAAGGCAAAATATTTACTCCTCAACCAAAATGACTTAAAATCAGTTGGAATCTATTTCTGCTAATCAAAATTGTATTTAGAAATTTACATCGTAATGAAATAAAGTAGTACAACCTCATGCTGGAACAAGGCTGTAGGTATATATACATTCTTCTAATGTTAGCAATAATGTCCTAGTTACCAAACCCATAAAAACAGACTTTCCAGGTTATTACTGTCACTGGTCTCTCACCAGCCATGTTGGTAGGCACAGGAAGATGATGTATGCTCAAGAACTGATCATGAGATTACCCTCAAATAACTAGCCTGTCAGTAAAGCAATGGGCAATATCACTTGCAGAAGCAAAACACTTGATCCAGTAAAACTAGACAGAGATTATAATTCAATGCAACATACTAAGTAACATATTGAAAAAAAAAGAACACTTTCAGAAGCTAAGATGGATTGATTTAAAATGGAAGCAGAGGCAAATACTAGAGACACCTAATTTAGCAATAATCAGCACACTAGTAACTAAAAAACAACCACCCTGCAGGCTAAGGGTATATAGCTCAGTACCAGGGCAACAGACCCTGGATTCAATCCCCAGCACCACAAAACAAACAAAACTCCCTCTGGCCAAATACCATCTCAAGCTAGCCTGAGTGAGAAACAATGTTGTTTTACTTTTGTTTTCTGTAGTAATGGGAGATAAAACTAAGGGACCCACGCTTGCTAAGGAAGTGTTCTACCACTGAGTTATATTCCCAGCCCAAGAAATAATGTTTGTTTTTTTGTTGTTGTTTTTCTTCTGGTACCAGGAATAGAACTCATGACCTTGTGCTTGCCAGGCAGGCACTTTGCCTCTGAGCTAAATCCCCAGCCCCAGAAATAATGTATTTTAAATTACCTATAGCCCTTACTTGTTCATTTTTTTACTCTTCTGCAGTAAAGTTTGCTGTGGAGGGCTCTACCTCAATGGAAAAGACATGCTGGTGAAGCTAACATTCTAGACTACTGTTACTGTAATACATTGTTTAAAAAAAATTTCTTGCCCAAGAAAGCAGTTCCTCTAAGTAAATGCCGGAGCTGGAATGTGGACCCGGAGTGGTATGACACAGAGCACATACTTTTCTTACCTTTCTACCACATACAGAGTCAAATGACAGTAAATGAAACAACTGTTTCAGATTCTGACAAACCATGGTTACAAACTGGAAAGAAAAAAAATTCTGCTAAAGTTACTAATAAAAACAACTCTCAATTCCTGAAATTCTGATAAAGCATTGATTCAATTTATGAACGCAGAAATTCAAATGAACATACACAAATAACAAAATTAAGCCTCCACAGAGTTCACCAAGACTCAAAACAAGGATATTATAAATTCACTCTACCGTGCTGAGAGAAAACCAACCTTATTAATGGCACATGCTGTTTTCTCCCGACTGATGCCACTACTTGTCCTAATGATCTTAGACAGATCCTCACGAGCAGCAAGTAGGTGAGCCAATGTCACAGTCGTCTTGGGAGACAAAGCATAACGCTTAGGTTGGTAAATTCTTGCTATGCTGTCTGTCTTTACCTAAATTACAAGGGTTGGGGGAAAAATGAACATAAGTAAATTTTACTGAAAGTAATAACAATCAAACTTCAGAAGAGAAACAAGATAATGCACAAGCCAAGAAAAAGTAAACACCTGATAATTTATATGCAAAATAAAGAAAAAAAAGACCTACAGGTGCTAAAAAAAATACATGCTACAACAACTCTAAGTAACGTACCGTGAATGGATTAAAATACCTAAATGCAATTTTACTAAAACAGGTACAGGACTTTAAAAAATAAAACATCAGTACTGTCCTGCCAAATAAAAGGAGTACTTGAATAAATGGTGAGAGGTATCAAGTTTTGGGATAGGAATATTGAGTATTACTGTCAACTTTTCTCTCAAGTTATAGATTTACTGTAATCCTATTAAAATGGTTTTGGGGAAGATGAAAAAAAAAATCTAAAATTAATCCAGAAATTAAATACAGAAGAACTACTCAAAGGATTTTGAAGAGGAGTTCCAACTGGTAATAATATACAATATGAAACTGTCACTGTCTTAATAGCTAATATTTACCAAACACTTACATTTAAAAAAAATGGGGAAGAATCCCAACTCTGCCCACTTACTAATAAAGGTCTACCTGATCCCCAAGTATAAGTGTACAGAGAAAAATGCATTGTCTGTCCTCAGTATAATTAGTTAAAACTTGGAAGAAAAATACGGATTGATGACACAAAACAATGACTGATATTCACAGCCTCAAAGGTATGAATACATTTACACAAACAATAAAGGAGTCAAAGATTAACAAGGGAGAGTTATTTTAAATGGAACTGGACTGAACTGTTAACTATTTCTAAAAATATTAGTAACAGTATTAACAAGGTGCACACATACTAAAGGGAATTCCAAAGTTATTAACAATTGTATGAAGTTTTATCTTAAATTTTAAAACTTACCTGAATATAAAGATTAAAATTTCTACATATCAAAAGTTATAAAACAAAACACAACCAAGGAAAATACTTTTAACAAGGAAATTAGAAAACTCCCTTAATATATAAAAAAGCTCAACCAAAAGGAAAGCAGACTCTTTAGAAAAAAAGACATAAATAGAGAAAAGAGGAAATTCAAAGGACAAGCTTATAAAAAAAAGGCCAATTGACCAGTAATAAGAATATACCAATTAAGATGAGTCCTTTTTAGCTATCAAGTTAGCAAGAAAATTGGTCATACCCTAAAAGTTAGAGAGGCTAAAGTTAGCTAAAATTTCATTTACCCCACTGGTACAAGTTTAAATTCATACAAACTCTGGAACACAATTTGGCCAACAAAAGCAAGGGCACAAGTTTCCTTTTAAGGAAATCAACCATAGATAATACTTTAACATTTATAATACAGTATAAAAAGTAAAAAATTATACACAGGAACATTTCTGGTATTAATATGACAGAAAGGTGTACAATAAGAGTTAAGTAAATGATGGCAGCACCACCTGGTAAGATAACAATGCAGACACAAAAAGGGACACTAAAAGAAATGAAGTAAACACACTTCCATATGTTACAACATACGAGAACCTTGAAAAAGTTATTCTACCTGAAAAGTCAGACACAAAGGTGTATGTTACATCATTTTTTTACATGAAATAGCCAAAACAGATAAATCTACAGAAACAAAAAGAACATTACAGAAATGGGTGCCAGAGATCTATGATGTTGAAGATGACTGTTAATAGTTGTTTACTTCATTGTGAGGTAACGAAAATTTTCTGGAATTAATAGTAATGGTTATATAACAGTGAATATACTAAAAGCTACTAAACTATATTCTTTCAAATGCTTAATTTTATGTTTGGGGAATTACTTTTCACAAAAATGAAATTCGAACTTAATTATTTTTTGAGACAGGATCTCCCTATGTAGCACAGGTTGGCCTTGAACTCATGGCAATCTTCCTGCCTCAGCCTCTTAAATGCTAGGACTACAGACATGTACCACAATGTGCTGTTAAAATTTATTTTAAAAAGGTAATTTGAAGTAGAGTTTTTAGAATGGTCACAATACATTTAGTTAAAACTATAAAATTCTATACTAAGAATATTATTTCAAGACCAGCAAAACAATAGAGAAAACAAACTACATTAATCTTACTAATAAATGGGTTTAGCCAGGCATGGTGTTGCACATCTGTAATCCCAGCACTATGGAAGCCTGAGGCAAAAGGATTGCAAGTTTAAGCCCTGGGAAAGACTCTGACTCAAAACAAATTTTTTTAAAGGCCTGGGAATGTAGCTCAGTGCAAACACATAGAAATATATATATATACAGAGTCTGCCAAAAAATGTATATACACCTCAGGAAAAGGAAAACAGTATGATTTTTTTCAACAGATGTTTTTACCCTGGCAGAACACGACAGCAAAAGCAAGCAAGCAAGCTTAACAGTGTCACTTTGCACCTTTTATCTTATCCAGACTGCTGGAATTAGGGTGGTACCAAACCAATCAGTAGACTGATTTAGTAATAATACACCCTTAATCTCAGTATCACACACTCTAGATTCAGCCAACTCTAAAAAAGCCCTATGACTGCATGAGGCTTTGGGAGGACACCTAGACACAAACCCTTACAGTATGTGTGTGTGTGTGTGTGTGTGTGTGTGTGTATTTACAAGTGAAGAATAACCCTGGGGTAGGCATCAAAAGCATGAAAATCATGCACATTCTTTAAAAAATTTTACTTCTAGGCATATATTATATATTTGAACAAAAATTTAGAGGCCAAAAATTTAATTAAAAAGTTAAACAGAAAATTAGAAGAAACTTCAATGTCTATCAATAGCTACAAGTAGAAGATGAAATATTCTGCCAAGATTAAAACTACTATAAAACATTTGATGAGTCACTCAACAATATCAGGCATATTGTTCTATTAGGAAAATAAAGGAAATGATAGAGATTTATTAAATTTAACAAGGAAACTTAGGGTACACATACATATAATCAACTGAAAAAATTTAAAAATCAAAATTTATCTTGAAAAGCTAAAGAAAAAAATAAGAAAAAAATTTAAAGTCTTCCAAGATAAGGAAAATATAAAAATAAAAACAGCCTCCCTGTCCTAAAATATGACATAAAAAGACCAAGATGCAAAGATAAAATACCAAGATATTTCCTAAGAGCATCTGCTCAAAGTCCCAACTTAAAATCAATAAATAATCAATATGCCCATGTCACTCTAAATGTTCAAAGAACATATCAAAACTCATTTGTTTAACATTTCCTGAAATCTTAATGACAACACCAAAAACATCCTCCAAGTTATTGGAGTGAGATACTAACTTTCCAATATGCCACATATTTCTAAATTCCTTTCTCTTGTAAAAATTCTATCAGGTTAAACTGCAGATCCAACATATGTATAACCTCTATTAAGTTTCCAGAAGTCAACAAAACAGATTATCTCCCACATGTCTGAACTATTTCTTGAGGTCAACTATCATTTTATGTACTTCTTTGATGGTTCACAGCTGTTGGGGCATCTGAGCTTCCTGCATACAAGTTACTCCAATGACATGGACAGACACAGCCTAGTTTATTCGAGTGCACCAGAATAATAGCAAGAGTTAAGTTCATAAACTGAGGTACACTGTATAGACAAGAATCAGGCCTGACACCTGTTTAATTCTTGCAGTATCTCTGCAACTCTCAAATGACTTCTGCAGAAATCCTGAAGGAGCAAGGATCCCCTACCCCTTGTTCCCAACCTCCCGAGTCAAGACTGCAAGTCCATGCAATTCATGCCAAACGCCTGCCGTTTGGATGGATCAAAGCTACTCAATTTGTAATCCTAGAAAAGCAAGTGGGGTCAGGAGACCAGAAAAGGGAGTATGAATGTATACTCAAGTCACTCAGGAACTTTTATGCAGGTGTAAGAAACTTATGTCAAAGTGGCCTCAAGATTGTTTAATAGGAGACAGACGAATGTAACTCCATGTTTACTGCTAGAAACCAAAGCTTTGTGTGAAATCTTGAATTTATGGAGAGGGTTGGAGGTGGGAGGGTGGGAAAGTATATACCTGTCTGTTCTTTCCCTGAACCCTTCACATCATTCCTGAACTGCCCAGGACCAAGCCCCCTTGGGCTTTGGAGACCCCATCACTGGGGTGTCTATTTGATGGTTGATTTGGCTGTACTCCGGTATACTTCCTTTTCCTACTTTCTAATCATTTTGTAACACGTGTGCTGACTTTTCCTTCCCTTCACCTTTCCCCGGGAAAATACAATGAATAAAAAGTCTTATTGGTACTCAAGAATCAGGCCTGAATTGTTTGAAAAGCTAAGTATTACTGAAACAGAAATCTTTTAATCTTATCTGAAGTAATAATAGTTTGAACCAGCAAATCTGTTATAAACACTCTTTACTTTTCTGTATCTATCTACGAAGTGTTTAGAAAGAGAGTCTGTGTAAAATACATAAAAGAGGATTTACACATAAATGAGTCAGACTGAACGTATTAAATAATAAAAAGATGCACACATCTTACAGCAAAGAGAAGGAAAGGACACATGGAAGGAATCAACATCTCTGAAAACAATATGGAACTGAAAATCAGAGTTAACTACAGTTAACAGAACAGTCTACTTCTCCAAATCCATGCTGTAACTCCTCTCCCACGGGCCAAAAGAACAAAAAAGGTATAAAAGAAAATGAGGTTTCCTTTTTTGAAAAAAAAATGGGCAGCTATAGAGAAAAGATGTTTTATATGCTAGCAATTAGAACTATCACAGCACAAGAGCCAGCTTTGAAGCCTGACATTAGTAATCCCTATCAATGACAGAGGTTTCCAATCACTTTTTCAGTGCTTCACTCTTCAATATGAATAACCAAGAAATACTATGCAGGTGAAGAAAGCCACCAACAAGAGTAATCAATAAAAATAAACAAGCAAATAAAAAATTATGTTGGAGGAAACATATAATTGAAGGGAAAATGCTTCCTCGAAGACAAGATCAGAAAATAGAAAGAT